CAAGTGGTGCGCGGGGAGAGGGGGATATTGTCTGCAAGCAGTATGTGACTAGAGGGGGGCCGTGGGCGTCCGCGTCTTTCCTGGGGGCCGCGCCTAGGGGGTCCTGCCTAGGGTCTGCGCGCGACTCGGCCTACGTGCCCAGTGGGTTCGCGCGTCTCCAGGCTGGCCTCCAGGAGCGAGCACTGGCCCGCGTGGATCCCTGGGGCCGCCTCGTGAGTGCTTTGGACACGTTGGGCGATGCGGCTCTCGTGCAGACCCCGAGCCACGTGTCTTTCAGCCAAGCCTTTTCTCGGTGGCTGAATCCTGGTGTGGTGTTGGCGAATGCCGTGCCGGATCAGGTCCTTGGGCATGTCGCCACCCCCGTCCAGTTCCCGCGGGGCATCTCGGCCCCTGTGAGGTTTGCGGGTGGGCGGGCGCGCAAGGTCCAGAACCATCTCGGATGCCCCATGACTTGTTGTGATTTTGCCCGCTGTCAGGCTTGTGGGTGCTCATCATTCCTCAGGGATATCACTGCCTTCTTGTCTTTTCCGTGCACCCCCATGATGTGATCGGGCGCAGTGGTCAGGCAAGCGTCTGCGGTGTGCGCGAGAAGTTGAATGGCCAATGCCTCACCATGCTGTTGCTTTCTGGTCCGATGCTGATGCGCTTCGGTGCCTCACATGTGGTTCGTACAGTACGGTCCACTTGCGTGACCTTGCTGATGTTCGTTCCAGGCGTGTTTCCAGGGATGGGGTTCAGAACTCGGCCAGGATCGCCCAGGGCAGTGCCCCAGGGAGTTGTGCGTGGGGGAAGGAGAGGAGGGCGAGAGCGGGCGTGATAGGTGCGGGGGGAAGTAAGAGCGGCAAGCGCGGCGCCCGCCCCGCCGCCGCCCCGCCTTTTCCTCTCCTTCACTATCCTCCTCCTGGTCTTCCTCCTTTTCCCTTTCCTCCTCCTTCTCTTCTTCGTTCTCCTCCTCCTCCTCCTCCTCCTCCTCCTCCTCCTCCTCGCCTCCTCCTCCTCTCCCTCGAACAATAGGCCGCGGCGGTCGGCGCCCGCGCAGTTTTCTTTTTCCCAGGAGGCTCTTGCCCACGATCTAGAGAGAGGGGGCGATCGTGGCCGCGTTCGGTTTATAATCTCCGGCGGTCTTGCACACCCAGACCCCCATCGCGCAATGAAAAAAAATGGCGGGAGGTTGTTTCCCGATTTTCAGCCTTTGGAGGCCTTTGCCGGCCCTCGGGGCCATCAGAAAACAATACAGGATGAACACCAGTCCAGGGGACTGGGCCGAGACCTGTGAGGGTCGACGTTATGATTGGAAATCGATTCATGGAGAAGAAGCATGCTACCACATGGTGTGCATATGTCAAACATGTGTCAACCATGCTTTAAAGATATAAACAAACATGCTTGCAACATGTTTAGAGCATGTTTTACACATGTTAAACGCGTTCTTGCTTTGATGAACAGGTTGCGACTGTGCCGTTTTAAATGCATGTTCCGCGTGCGGATCATGGGTGACAAGATGCAGGGATTCATTATTAAAAAGAACGATGAGTTCATGCATGAGTTCATTCATAAGCGGATCATTTATCGGCCATAAATTTATTCACGCCACGGCACTGGACACTCGGCCCTGCAGGGTGTCCGTTGTCGTGTTGTCGTGGCATCCGCAACGTTACGGGGAAATCAACGTTGCGTCGGGGGCCTGGGCAGGGCGGGCCGCCGCGGCCGCCTTTCGCAGGCGTTCCGAGCAGCCCGGGGGGGGGGCGAGGCGAGGCCCAGGTACAGAGAGAAAGACACACACAGGCCCTCCTCCTCTTTCTCCTCCTCCTCCTCATCCTCCTCCTCCTCCCCCTCCTCCTCCCCCTCCTCCTCCCCCTCCTACTTCTCCCTCCCCTCCTCCCCCCCCTCCTCCCCGTCCCCCTCCTCCTCCTCCCCCTCCCCCCCCTCCTCCTCTCCCTCCTCTCCTCCTCCTCCTCCTCCTCCTCCTCCTCCTCCTCCTCCTCCTCCTCCTCCTCTTCCTCCTCCAGGTTACTCGCAGGAACATCGTAGAGCATGTGGGAAGGCGGGAGGGAAGACGACAGCCCAGAACGTGTTGAACCATGTAGGGGATCCTGGGACTCGTGTCGCTTTCGATGTGCGTCCCGGGGCCCCTTCTTCACCAGTGGGAGGGATCCCCCTTTTGTTCCTTGGGCTGGCGGGCTTTCGACTGCTGGTCTCACTTCAATTCGGTTCCTCTCTCCCCCTCCCCCCCTCAGCCTCCTCCTCCTCCTCCTCCTCCTCCTCCTCCTCCTCCTCCTCCTCCTCCTCCTCCGCCTCTCCCCCCCTCGTCCCTTTCCGCCGGGCAGCGCAGCCTGTCCGGGACCAGTGTGGCGGTGTGTAGGGCTTCAGCGCGCTTCCTCCACCTCTCCCCTCCCCACTGCCCACACGCACTTTCCTCTCTTTCTCCCTCTATCTCTCTCACCTCCGCATTTTCCCTCCCTCCTTCCCCCCATCCCCCCTCGGCCGATTCGGCTCCTGGGCCTCCCCCGCCTCCCCAGCCGCCCGGGAGCGATGTGCCATGGGTGAAAACAGCATCGGCAAACCCTACTCCAGATTTCGTAATAAAGGGAGGGGGGCTCATTTCGGGGGGGTCTCTTCCAGACTATCTTGGAGGGCCTGGGGGGGTCTGGGGACGATGTTTTGGAGGGTTCTCCCACGGGGGAGGTCTGAAATGGCTTGTCTTGGAGGGTCCAGACCCCTCCCCTTTATTACAGAATCTGGAGTAGGTTTCCAAAGGCTTCTGGCCTCTCGGGGACCCAATTGGTGCCCCGTGGAGGCCCCGTGGCCGCTTGAGAGGCCAAGGCGGGCGCCGGCGCGGTGGTCTCGGGCCTCTCGGAGGCCTGCCAGGTGCCCTCCTCGATCCCCTCTTCCTCCTCCTCCTCCTCCTCCTCCTCCTAATTCCTCCTCCTCCTCCTCCTCCTCCTCCTAATTCCTCCTCCTCCTCCTCCTCCTCTTCCTCCTCCTCCTCCTGGTCCTCCTCGTCCTCCTCCTCCTCTTCCTCCTCCTATTCCTCCTCCTCCGCAGCACATTGTATCGTATTGGAGGCCGTCTACAAAGCGACGTCGAACATAGCCTGGCGCCGCGGGGTGGTGTTCGGCGGGAGGCCCTTGCCGATCGGCGAACCGAACGTCACGAGGTGCACTGCGCACTCTTTGCTCAGCGGCCTCTTCAACATTGAGGGGCGTATCAGACATTCTGGGCTGAACGGCCACTCGGCCGCGACATCGAGTCGCGCGTCTGAAGTTTGGAGTTACTCCGCTGCGCGGCAGGGGTGCACCACCGCTTGCGGCATTCCTCTAACAGTTGTCTAGCGAACTGCGGCGAGACTTAGTAGGACTGGATGGGGTCATGTTGGAGCCATCTAAAACTCAAGCAGGCCCTCTGACATCTCGCGGGAGTACGGGCCCCGCAGGTCCACGCGGGCGACAAGACAGGTGGCGGCTGGATCCTGCTTCGGTCCAGCAGATCCCTCAGACGGTCCAAGAGGACGAGACAAGACAAGACAGGACAAGACACTGCAGCACGAGACAATCCAGTCAACCCGCACAGTAAGGACGGGCCCCCCTTTTCAAGGGTCCCTTTTCATCTTTGCCTCGTCAGTCCATCCTTGGCCACTTTCCTTGGCCACGCCCCGCTCGAAAAGCGTCGAGATGAGCGTCCAAGGTCCTTGCATCCTTATTGCGCATCCTTACTGCACGGGCTGACTATACACTGTGTGCACAGCTATGTCTATATATATGTGTGTATATATATGTATAGACATAGATGCATAGAACAAGCCAAGACAATTCCCTTGTTGGCATATGATGGCCCCAATACACGCCCCAGGAGGGCTCCAAGACTGCCCCATAGGCTGGCATGACGCCCCCTCAAACGGCCCCCTGCACAGCGGATTCTCGAGAGGGCGTGTCGAGGCAAAAACAACTTTTTGCCATGCTCGTCTTCTCGGTCTTCAGGCTGCTCGAGACGGCCCAGTCCCAAGATAGCTCGAAATCGTTGCGCGTCCCACGGGCCCATCAGCAAGATGCCCCTGGGAGGCCAAGCAAGGCCCCAAAGAGGCCTTCAAGAGGTCCCCAAGATGCCCCCCAATTTATACAACAGCAGCCTTCTAACGGGCTTCAATTTGGCAGCAAATTCATCCCGAATGGCATTTCAACACCCTCCTCGAATGCTATAGGCGAGGCGATGGCGGAAGTCTTTGGTGTGGTCTTCTTTGGACCCTTGCCAAACGCAGGGGGTGACAAGACCAGCGCGTCGTGGACCCGAGAGGCTCCCAAGAGGCCTCCAATGCTGCCACAGACGACAAGACAAAACGAGGCCAGACTGGACAAGACGAGATGCGGCAGCCTCCAGGTCTTGTCCCAAGACGCCCCAAGAGGATCCCCCCGACAGGGGAACATCTTCCAAACACATCGGCAAATCAATGACTTTTGACTTCTCGCCTTGTAGGCTCCCGATGGGCTCTTGAGACCTCGAGGTAGCATCAAGATGGCACGAGAGAGGCTCCAGAAGGGCCCGAGAGGTTCCACGTGGACTCTAAGAGTGCCCCGACAGAGTCCGAGTCCGAGGAGCGCCTCCAGAGCTTTCCCAATCGCGAGAAAGGTCGTTATAGGAAACCGTGGGTGACAGCAAGGCGCCCCCCAGAGACACCCGGAGTCCCCAAGGCGCCCCCCAGAGGCCACCAGATGTCTCCGAGAGGCTCCCAAGAGACCCCCGGGGATGTTCCAGTGGGCGGGTGGGAAAGTCTCCCGGCGCGGGGTAGGGCGAGGTAGCTAGAGTACTGAGCCTGCTAACAACCTGGATGCGCCTAAAGCCTAGACGACTGGTGGGATTAGTGGCTTGCTGCCCCTGCAGCCCTCTCTGCTCCCCCCCCCATTCCTGTTGCCCTTCTCTCCCCCAGCCCCTCAGATCCTCGCCCATCTCTTGCTGGCGCCAGCGCTGATGCTGTTGCTGCTCCTCCTCCACTCGTCGCCGGCAAGGCCAGCGAGTTGCTGCCGTTGGTGAGGAAGCTCCTTGAGCACAAGACGATCGACAAGCCCAAGATGCAGCAGCTGGTCCATCCCATATGCCTGCTTCGCACTGTAAGACGGGAGAAGACATTCACAGAGAGAGTCAGTCTCACGTTTTTTGCTACAGGCTCACGCCACGTCCGCTGACTCGGCTCGCTTCTGGGCTTCCTGCTTGAGCAGAGCACTGTTTGCGCTCCTTAGTTAGCAGCCCCTGACCTTATCCTCCCTCTACGCGTATCTAGTGTTTTCCTCGTTGCTTTATTATTCATCCTCGCCACCCTCGTTCGCTTGCTCCTGTCGACTCTTCTGTGGGCGCTCGAGGGCGTGTGGGGGGTCCTCATTCCAAAAGTCCCCCGCGCTGTCTACAATTTGGACTGGTTGGATCGGTTCGGGGAGGGTGCCCTCATGTTCTACGTGTTTGTTGGATGTTCTTGTGCATCTTGGGGGAGGGTACCCTCGAAACTCGTAGCCAATTTGGCCCAAGACGGAGGTTACCTCCCGTCCAGACTCCAGAGGCTCGAGCCTGAGGTGGAAGGGCAGCCCTTCCTCAGGCCTGGGTGCCTCAGCTAGCTTTCAGTGAGCTCCTGGCTGGAGCATTCCCATTCGCCCCTCGACGCTCCGAGGGCACAGGTCGTGCGGCACTCTGGTGCGGCAGCGGCCTCCGTGAATGAAGGCGACGTGGTCCGCGGACCGAAGACCCCGTTCTGGAGGTGTCAAGGTTGCGGGCGCACGAGCAACTGGGCATGCAGGCTGCGGTGCCGTTGCGGGCTCAAGCCGCCGGCCTTCGTGCTGCAGCGGGCCAAGTCGTTTGGCAGCAGTGGTGGCGGGAGTCCTGATCGTGGCGTGGCTGACCATGGGCGAGGGCGTCCTCCCGCTGCGGGGTCGCGCCGTGAGGCGAAGCTGGAGTCCAGGTTGACCGAGCTGCAGAAGAAGATGGACCAGCTCCTGGGCGGCGGAGCCTCCAAGCTTGCCCGCGGTGCCACAGGCGGGCAAGGCGCAGGAGGACAGCAGGGGGCGGCCCAGGCCAGTGGAGGAGCCGGGGACGAGCCCGACCCACTGCAAACTCGAGCGCAAGAGCTGGAGGCGGCGATCAGGGCCTGCGGCAAGGCAGAAGATGCTGCTGAGGCGCGTGCGTTGCTTGAGGCCAAGCCCAATCAGGTGCGCGCGGAGATCGAGAGCAAGACGCCGAGCATTACCCAGCACGCCAGCGTTGGGCACAGGCTCGCGCGTGCGACGACCAGACTGGAGAAGGTCACGGCTGAGTTGGAAGAGCACCGCAGGAAACTCGAGGAGCTCAGCGCGAAGACTACCGAGATCCAAGCACGCCAGGTGGCGGCGACTGCGGAGGTGTCAGAGTTGCAGCGACAGCACATCCTGCCCCTCCTCCATTATGTGGACGGCGACATTGATGACAATATGCAGCTTCTGGTCCTCAACCTGCCCTCCGACCTGCTGGAGGGCAAGGGCGCCATCAAGAACATGCTCGCCACCCTCGAGTTCCAGGAGTTCGCGAAGATGTTCGCCGAGCATCGGGATGTTGCTGGCGGCGATCGTGCAGGGCCAGGTAAGCCTCGATAAGAGGCCGCAGCTGATGGCGTGGGCGTGCCAAACCCGCGCGATACCGAGTTGGATGATGCCTTCGAGGACGAGGCAGCGGCTGATGCCTTGTGGGAGAAGCATAGTGGCGACCAACGTGTTTTCACCCGAGCCCTTCTCGGAGCCAAGCTCAAGAAGCCCAAGGTGGCGAGTCTCTATCAACGGACCGACATGGGCGAGCAGCAGAGCTACCGCCGAGCAGGCGCGCGACATGGCGGATGTTTTGCCTGACGATGCGGTGCGGTTCTTTTCGTATGTCTACGAGTCAGAGCGGCTGCACCAGCAGACTTTCGATGGCTTGAAGGCAGCGCGGCACCTCCTCGACGCGCTGCAGTACGGTCAGGGCGCCGACTTCAGGAGAGGTGACCACCAGATGCACGATGGCACGAGGGCGCTACCTGCGCACTGTGATTAGCCGCGTTCTATGTGTTTTTTTGCAGCCGAAGCACGAATCAGGCCACGCCTGGGGCCCAAGTGCACTGGCTTGCGCGTTGCTGCGCGCGACGTAGGCTTTCCGCCGCAGACCGCTTCCCCCGTTGAGCTGGACACCCATGCTTATGTTTTCGAATCGAGCACGCAGGCGCTTATGGTGTTTGCACAGGGAGTGAACATAATCGAGGATTGCCTAGCGGCTAGGACGGCCACGGCCATGCGTCTGGGAGGGAATGCGCCGCCCGCCCCGCCGGGGAAGCGCGATGCAGGACATGCTCAGAACAGGAAAAACAACATACAGACCAAGGGTTTTATGGGTTTTACGCCGGAAAGGGGCGTCGTTCAGAGGGTGCCTGGCACGGATGCGGGGGCCGGGGTGGCGTCTGTGTTTGGAGCTGGCGGCTTGCGCGGCAAGTGCGTTTAGCTGGTCGCATGCGTTCGGAACGCGTGACGGGTGGATCGGCCGCTCGCCAGCAGCTGGCAGCCCTCCGCCCGCGGGCCAGAACAAATCGTCGCGCGCTCGCAACGGGGGAAAAGGGGCTCGGGAAGAGAGCGCGGGTCTCATTCCCAGGAAGTCCCTTCGATAGGCAACATGCAAGTCTTTTTCTATTCATCTGCCGCACGGCCAATCGAACGAGCGAACAACTATGTCGGCGCGCAGCGTTAGCTTCGCTTGCGCGCATCCAGGTTTACTTCCGTTGCTTCCGTCGCTTCTTTCTCGCCCCCCCTTCTTTTTTCCTCTCCCCCTGCTTCGCCTTGCCTCGCGCCCCTTCCGTTCCAGCTCGGAGCTGTCGCCGCGCGCGAAGAGCGCAACCCAAAAGGGGGTTGCTGTAATCTTTGCGCGCCACGAAGTCTCGTGTAATTCCTTCGCGCGCGGTCTGGTTGCATTGCCGGCGCGGGGGGCGCGCGCGGGAATTTCCTTTGCGTGCGATCGTTTTCGCCACCCCCGCAAGAGCACGCGCGATTCCTTCATGCAGGTCTTGCTTCCCCGCCTCGAGGAGCGCACGGGGCCTGGCGCTGCAATCGCAAGGCCGCGGCGCCTGGCAGTGCGATGCAGCTGCGCCGGATGCCGCGCCCAGAACGATCCCACGTGAATTTCGGCCCTTCTGCCGAAATCGCGCTGGCAGCTGGCCAGCCACGTCGCTGGCCCTGCGCGCCCGCGCGCGCTGCTGCGTTCTGCAGCGACGCGTGCTGCTGTCAACGGATGGAAAAAAACAAACTGACATTGCACGGTGTTTTGGCTGTGCCAAGCCACCGTGGAATGTCTGTGTGTTGCGGATCTTGGGATCTTGTCGCCGCCGACAGTTCTGCCGCACCATGCATGTCAATTGCATCCTAGAGTACGGCCGTGCATCAACCCTGGTTCGGATCGCTGGGGGCGCAGTGGCATGTGTGCACATGCGTTGCACCGTTGGCGGTGCCAACACCCTTTGCGTGAAAGTCCTTTGTGTGTGTGTGTGTGCGTTTTTTTTTTCCTGGCTCCTACATGCGCCCGCTGGCCGCTGCGTGCTGCGTTTTTGTTCCTGGCCATGTTTGCGAGGGCCACGGTGGGCCTCAGGTGACCATCGAACCTTCCACGTGGGATACTAGTGCGGAACAGGTTATTGTTCGCTACGATATACGTACCTGGATGGCCCGAGCTGCTCGCAGGCTGCGCGCGCATGCACGCTGGCGAGGGTCTGAACAAGCGGAGCCCCACTGTTTTAAACCACGCGGGATCGACCCTGGATGGATCCACAGATCGGCGCTCGTTGCTGATTGGAACTTCTCGGCTTTCGTCGCGGAAGGGCTCGGGCATGTTTCGGGCAGCCTCGATGATGATTTTTGCAGCCCGGCGCTGAGACTTGTGCTACCCCGAAAGCGAACGCCAGGAACGTCTGTTTTATGGTATCGGCGGCCTTCTGCAATCATGGCGAGGCCACCGAGATGGGCGGCGCGTGGCCGAAGAGGCCCCACCGACCCGCCCAACCCCGTTCAAGGCCTGGGGCTTTGAAATGGCAGCAACTTGTTCACCAGACGCACCAGGAGTTACCTGTTGAGCTCCCCCTCGATCGATCGGTCCGTGGCCCGAGCTGTGGCGGAGGTGGCAAACCGTAGAGCCGACCGCGAAAATGTTCCCCTGGCCTGGGAAGTTCTGGATCGAGCGTGGACGGTTTTTGCGGACACTATGGAGTTAGAGCATGAAAGTGGGACTGGGACGCCCATTGAGCGCAGAGGGCTTGAAAGGCAGGCAATTGCAAGCGGAGTGGGTTTCCGCCCTGATCCCTTTCTAGGTGCAAAGTCGAAGACGGCATCCGAATTGGGGAGGGATGGGAGCGACGGATCTCAGAAACAGGGGATGACGGATCTCAGAAACACCAGTCAGCGATTGCCAGTGCAGTCGGAAATGTGTGTTGGCCACGCTGAAATCCAGGCGGCGGTTAACCTCGTTCAGGTTATCAGCCAGTCTTTTGAAGCCGAAGGCTTGTCTCCGAGATTGGATTTCACCGTCTGCGCGGCGCGAGAGATCGCTGCGGCATGGCCGCAGGATTTCGTTGCCCTCGCTGGGTGGATTGACCCCTGCTCGGAGTCCTTAGAAAAGTGGGCCGAGGATGTTCAGCAGGCCCGAGATGGGCTGGACCAGCAAGCTAGAACGAGTTGGGATTAGCGGCAGACACAGGCGCCGGCGGGTTCGGCCCGACAGGGTTGCCGAGACGAGAGTTCGGGATCGGATTAATGTTCTGGGGTGAGCTGTTTGGCCACGGGGCGGTCTCCCCTCTCCCGAGGAGGCGGGCCTGCGGCCTCGCAGCTCTCCTCCGGCTTGTTCTTGCTTCTGGCCACCTGGGTGGCCGAGGCCCGGCGCCTCTGAGCGGGTTCGGCCGCGCGCGGCCCCCCCCCAAAAAAAAACAAGGGCATCCCCGAATGGCCTTATGGTTCGGTGTGTTTCGGCCGGCGGAGGGTCTCATGTTCTTGAAAGATGTTTTTTTCTGTTCTAGGCCCGACCGTACCCCCCCCCCACAAGTTGGGAGGGGCGGTCGAACTTCCTCCCCTCCCCCCACTTGCGAAAGCTTTGGGGGTGGGGGGGTGGGGGGGGGTAAGACCCCGCGCCCATTGCGCGCCGGCAAACGGCCAAGCCCGACGGCGAACACGACGACGATAATGACCACGACGAGGACGACGACGAACATGACAAATACGGCGACAACGCTGGCGATGCTGACGGTTTATTGTGACGATGCCAACGACGATAATGACAACGAAGGCGCTGATGACGGAGCTGACAGTGACTGACAACGACGAAACTGACGACGACCCGTGTCCCATCAACGAGCAAGGATGCAATGATTGCATTTTCTGGGCCGCCTGCCCGCCCGACCCGCCCGCCCGACCTGCCCGTTCGGGTCCCGCCCGCCTGACCCGCCCGCGGGGGTCGGGTATGGCTAGGACCCCAGGTAACGGGACCCGATGAGTGGTAGGGCACCATAGTCCCAGCATTAATTGGCATGCCAGAGCCAGGCATGCCGCAGCCGGTGATTTTTCGGGCGACGGCAGTTCCGATCAGATCAGTGGGGCGGGGCGGGGGGGGGGGGTCCCCCTGTTCGCGCCGCCAAGCCATGCCCCACGAAACCCAGCGCCGGCAACGCCCGATGGGGGTGGCCCCGCTTTGAGGCTCCCCCCCCGCCAATTCCGCCCGGGAGGCTCCCGCCCGCTCGCTCGATGAGAGGCACGCCCGCCCGGGGAACTGTTCCCCCGGCTCGGGTCCGTCGCGCCAGGCCCACCCGTCAGAGTCCTGCCAGCCCGCCCGCCCGCTTCGATCTCCCACCCAACCTGCCCCGTGAGGGTGCCGCCCGCCCCCGCCCAAACTTTCCCGTTAGGCTCCCGCCTCGCCGTCGTCGTCGCCGCTGCCGTCGTCGTCTTCATCAGCGTCGTCGTCGTTTTCGTCTTCGTGTTCGCAGTCAGCGTTCGTCGTCGCCGTCGTCGATCTTGCAGACGTCCTCCTCCTCCTTGTCGTCGTGCACGTCGTCGTCATGTTCGTTGGCCTGTTCGCGTTCGTCCCTCCGGCGAGGTTTGGGGGGGATTCTGTGACGCACCTCGCTTGAGAAAGACGCTCTTTCAAATGTCGCCAATTGGCCGTGCCCGTGGGGGTCAGCGGAGCCCACTACCACGCAGACCCAAGTTGAGGCCTCGCCCTCGCAGTTGTGACAGCTCGTGCAGCTGTCGCCGCCGTCTTCCGCCGCTTGCGCGGGATCCAGTGGAGTCTTATTCTTTTTCCATGCAGACGCGAACGAGATCGGCACCCCAACATTCAGGAGGGTAAAAAACATACAGACACAAATAATCGTCGAATTCCCCAAAAGTATGGGAAACTATGGGAAGTGGTGGGGGAGACAAAAACCCAGAAACTATTCGAAAGTATGGGGAACCCTGTTAGTTGTGTGTATTTATGTGCGTGTGTGTCCCAGGGCTCCTTCAAGCATGCTAGTGCATGTCTGCGTCCCCCCTCCCCGCAGGGGCGACACCACGCGCGCCGAGAAGTCTTTTACGGTCTGCGTTCCGTGGCGGGCGCTGCCTGGCCATCATGCTTGGGCAACGATATGTTGCAGTACGGTTTTATGCTATATGCTCGGGTCGGACGCGCGCCTCCAAGGAGGGCACATGGCACGAGTATGCCCTTGCGAAGCCCATCCTGAGCAGCTGGCACTGTTGGCGACCTGTGGCGGAGCGCAGAGCCATCCTCCTCAGCCACCCACCTTCCCGCGCGCTCCCTCCTGCTCCTCCCCATGCGCACCAGGGGGGGGGGCATATGCTGCCCGATCAATGGCCCGATCCGTTGCCCCCCTCCCCCTGCCCCCCTTCCTCCCGCTCCCCCTTCCTGAGAGTGGTCGGCCGTGCCACCACCGCCGTTCTGCGCGCATCGGGGGGTGGGGTCCTGGGGGTCAGCGACGCGCCTCCTGGCGCAAAGACGCCTGGGGGAGCTCGGGCCGTCAGGCGTGCAGCGGTCGCCAGTGCCCCGCGCCCCGGCGTGCTCCACCGCAGTGCGAGGCAGCGTCCCGTCGGATGCGCGGTCATGCTCAGCGTCGCCCCCTGCCTGCGCAGACGCAGAGGAGGCCTGGGCCAGCTCCTGCTCTCCGTCGCGGAGGTGTTCCGTAGAGCCTCGCGCGGACCCCAAACATATTCCCTGCCTCCCTCGGCGCCTGCCCGCCAGGCAGGTGTCGCCAGCACCCTGCTCCTCTGCGGGTCCGCGGAGGGCTCCTTGAGGGCTTTCAGACGAACGCTCGGTTTCATGAGTGATAGCAGATTTCTAGTGGGTGCGTTGGATACGTTCTTGGGCAAACTGCGGGGCAGCAGCAGCGCAACCAAACTAGCAGTGTGCGTGCAGTGGAGTACTATGCGCACGGAGTTTCAATTGCCGGCCCGGCTGAAGCCTGGGGCGAGGCTCCGTTCACATTCACACCATTTTCAGTCTAGGGCCACCGCGCCCTTAATATGCGTTTGTACCTCATGTACGCGTGCTCTACCGCCAGATGTACGGCCATTATCGTCAGCATCGGCGTTGCCAGCGACGTCATCCTCGACTCTTCCGTTTGTTCCCTGCCGCCCCGTGATTTTGTTTGTTTTTTATCTGCCCATCTCAGCATCCTTAGCCCTTCTGTTCCAAGAGCGCCCGAGCAAGTGCCCCACAGATCTTGTCCCTTCAAGGTTTTGCTGGCAGCAATGGGCCAGAATGCCTGCAAGCAAGGTCTCTGCCAGGTCTGGGAGAATGGCTCTGGCGCCCCCAAAAATAGTGCAATCGTGTTCATCAAGCCACATGCCGTCAATACAGCTGTGCAAGATTTGGTGCAGACAACCCTGAAGAAACGTGGTTTGAGAATCCTGAGCAGTGGTCGCATAGATGCTGAAACAATCGACCAGAAAGGTCTGATCGACATTCACTACGGGGCAATCGCTGCAAGGGCTCTCAAGATCAAGCCGTGCGACCTTGTCGTCCAGCCTGGGCCCAAGGCTGACTTCGAGAAGCTGTTTGGCATTAAATGGGAGAGTGCGTTGGCCAAGGAGCTAGTCTTCAACGCGAAGGATGCTGCCAGCAAGTTGGGCATTCAGCCTCTCGAGCTGAGCGAGGAGTGTGGCAAAACCAAGCGCGGTGTCGACCAGCTCAAGTTCGGTGGAGGTTTCTACGTGGCGAAGATGCGGGGCATCTACGTGGTCAATGGCTTCTACGAGGGCATGCGCGCGAAGTTCACGGCGCCAGGCACGTGCATTCAATACTTCGAAGTCGAGTGGGATCCTGCCTCGCTGCCCTGGGAAAAGTTCAGGGGCGAGGTCGTCGGGGCCACCAATCCGAAGGAGGCTGCCGCCGGCTCCATGCGGAACACCATCTTCCAGCAATGGAAGGAGCTGGGCCTCAGCGCAGAGCCGGACACGGGGGACAACGCCGTCCATGCGTCGGCCAGTCCCTTCGAGGGCCTCGCGGAGAAGGCCAACTGGCTCTCGAGGGATGTGTCCGAGGACCCTCTCGGCCGGGCGCTCTCGGCGGCAGGCCTGGGCCAAGGCACGATCGAGAAGTGGATGCAGGACCCCGCAGTCTTCTTCGAGGGCAAGAAGCAGTCCCTGTTCGACCTGCTCGAGGACTTGGACAGCGAGGCCTGCGTAGAGAAGGCCAGGGACATCAGCGCGCAGCAGACGAACTCGGCCATCGTCTTCATCAAGCCCCATGCGGTGAGCCAGGCCGTGCAGGATCTGGTGCAGAAACAGCTCGAGGAACGTGGCATTAGCATCGTCCACAGCGGCCGGATTGACGCAGAGACCATTGACGAGAAAGGTCTCATTGACACTCACTACGGTGCAATCGCCGCCAGGGCTATGAAGGTGCTGCCCTCGGACCTGGTGGTGCAGGCGGGACCGAAGGCAGACTTCAAGAAACTCTTCGGCCTCTCCTGGGACTCCGCCCTGGAGAAGGGCCTGGTCTACAACGCCCGAGACGCCGCTGTGAAGCTTGAGAAGACGCCTCTGCAACTGAGCGAGGCGTGTGACAAGACCAAGCGCGGTGTGGACCAGCTGAAGTTCGGCGGCGGCTTTTACGTGGCACGCCTTCGTCGTGGCCACTTCATGGCGAAGGAAGACACGTTCGTCGTGAACGGATTCTATGAGGGCATGCGCGCGAAGTTCACAGCCCCTGGGGGGTGCATCCAGTTCTACCAGGTCGAGTGGGACTCCTCTGCGCTGCCCTGGGAGAAGTTCCGTGGGGAGGTCATCGGCGCCACCAACCCCAAGGAGGCCGCAGAGGGATCCCTCCGCAATACGATCTTCAAGCAGTGGAAGTCCTTGGGCCTCACCAAGGAGCCAGACACGGGCGACAATGCGGTCCACGCCTCCGCCGGCGCTTTCGAGGGGCTCGCGGAGAGGGCGAACTGGCTGGCGGCGGACGTCTCGCGCGACCCCTTCGGCGAGGCGCTCGTGCGGGCCGGCATCCCCGCGGACACCCTCGCCGCCTGGACGGGGGACCCGGCCGTGCTCTTCGACGGCAAGAAGCAGTCATTGTTCGACTTGCTGGAGGACCTCGGGCCGGGCGAAAGGGGGGGATTGCGAAAGGGGGGGTTACGAAATATGCTGCATGCAGCTGGTTTCGGCCTCACCGAGGGGCCCATCCTTCGATACATGGGCGCCTCCCGGCGCCGGGAGGCGCCGGGAAAATCAGCTACGTGAGCTGATTCTCAAACCCCCTTTTGCTACCCCCCCCTTTCGCCCGACCCGAAGGACCTCGACAGCAGCACGTGCATGCAGAAGGCCGCCGCCATCGTCGAACAGCAGAAGGCGCCCGGCGACGGTGGTGAGTCTGCGCCTCTGGAGCAGGGCGCGTAGCAGGGCGCGCAGCTGCGCGGCAAGAGGCTGTGCTCACGTGCGCCGCGTGGCCACCCTGCTGGAGTCCCCGAGCAGGGCTGTTCGAGGAGCCAGAAGCGAGATACACAAGCTTTCGGTGGTCCGGGCGGATGCCTTGGACCTGCGCTGGACCCCCCTGGCGCGCGTTGGATCTAAGGATCCAGCGCAGATCCAAGGAATCCGCGCGGACCTCTGACAGTTAGATTTTACGGTGGGTTCAGTCGGCGTTGGCACGCCGGCGACGCCCGCGAAGGCGTTCAGGGTTCAACTCTTCGACGCGGAAGCACCGATGGACACGGCAACGCCACCGGACCCGATGGAATCCAACTCTGAACGATCGGGGCCGTGATCGATGCAAGGTGGAGCGATCGACGCGGTGTCGAGCACCTCTGCTCGGGTCGGGCGAAAGGGGGGGATTGGGAAAGGGGTGGTTACGAAATTTGCTGCATGCAGCTGATTTCGGCCTCACCGAGGGGCCCATTCCTCGATACATGGCCGCCTCCGGCGCCGGGAGGCGCCGGGAAAATCAGCTACGTGAGCTGATTCTCAAACCCCCCCTTTGCTATCCCCCCCTTTCGCCCGACCCGATCTGCGCGTGCCGACGTCGCGCGAACCTACCGTGTGCACTCTTTCCTTCTCCTGGGCACCGCGTGGCCCTCCTGCCGGAGTCCCCGGGCAGGGTTTGTGGCGGCGGGCGCCGTGGGCTCTGTGCAGCTCTGCCTGCCGTTCCTTTGAGATCTGCCCTCTCGCAGGGTCAACTCGGGCCTGTCCCTCTACAGGGGGAATATTTAAAATAGTCAAAAAATAGTCCCCAGACTATTTTTTGACTATTTTAGATAGTCAAAAAATAGTCTGGGGACTATTTTTTGACCGTTTTGTAACACTCTTGCTGTATTTTTCATTTTTCGTCCGAAATCCCCGTGTCGGGGGACACGCCCGACTTGACCGTAGGGACACCTCTGTGCTCGAGTACGGTCGGGCCGGGGATCCGATCGAGGTTGGTTCGGCAAGGGAACCCTCATGTTCTTCGTGCTGGTTTGATGTTTTTGCGCATCCTGGTGAAGCGCATCCTCGAGCGATCTCACGGTTTGGGGCGTTTTCACAGGCGGCGGTTCTCATGCTCTTGACGGATGTTTTTCTTTCCTGGGTCCGACCGTAGTGGATCGATTACAGAATTGTTTTGCCCCGAGTTTGTGTTTCTTCCGTCGGATCTACGAGCGAAATGCGTAGAAGGTTCCTCCGTGTACGAACACGCGGCGCCTTCTCCGCAGACCCGACCACAAAAGTCCAAGTTTGGGGCACATCGATTCTGCAGTCGATCCCCTTCTCGATGTGTGCATGCCGAATCAATCCAGGCGTCTGCGGCAAACCCCGCCACCCAGGACTGCCTACGATCCGATGCGGTGCCATGCGATCCGCCGGCTGGAGCCGCGATTCCTCCTGCGACGCGATGCACCGACCCTGGCCGGGGCCAGCGTGAGGCCGGCGCGGCGATCCGATCCCGATTCGATTCGGGACGATTCGCTGGCGATTCGATGCGTCTCGAGTCCGATCCGATATCACCACCGCGCCGGCCTCACTCAGTAGCACTCCAGAGGCCCCAAGGGGCTCCCAAGAGGCCCCCGAGAGGCCCCCGACGGGCTCCCAAGAGGCTCCCAAGAGGCTCCCAAGAGGCATCCAGGGGGCCCCCAAGGGGCTTCCAAAAGAGGCCCCAAGAGCTCCGGGTGGCGCAAGCGGAGACGAAACGAGCTCTGAACGCCAAGGCTCCCTCTGCGAAGGGTGGTGTGCACCCTCGCGGGCACTTCCTGAAACGCTCGCTCCGTTCCCGTGCGGGCCCAGGTTTTGGCAGCAGCAGACAGCAGTCATTGTGACACGCCCGAGCCTGCCGAAGGATCGGTGGCGGATTCCTGTGCCCCTTTCCGCGAGCAGTTCCTCCAAAGTGATGGAATGAGAGGTTTGGTAGCGTTTTCGATTATCCTAGTCGGCTGGCTAAAGACCGGCTTCCCACGATTGGTCGTCATTGAGCCATCATCGAAATCAAAATCATGTCTGCAGGGTCGATCACAAGCAGGAGTGAGCGCGAACAATGCAAGCACGCTCGCAGACAAGCAGCCATGTGTGCAAGCACGCGTACGATCAGTCAAACGAGCAAGCGTCACCTCATGCAGGCGTGCGAGCACGAGCGCATGCAGGCGTGGTAGCGCGCAAGCGTACATCGAAAGCAAGGGTGCAAGTGAAGAAGAACGCACGCGACCAATGAAGCACGCAGGTGGGCACACAGTGGTGTTCCACCAGGTCCACGCATCGAGCCCACGCAGTGGGGAATGGCGACCGTGGACGTGCGAGGGCGCACATCTGGCCGGGTAGGGATGGGACCAGAGGAGTTTCGCCGCATTGTCTCTTGCTTTTCCTCGGGCTTACAGAGGGCGCCTCGGACAGTCAGCAAGCTGACAGGCCGCAGTCAGTTTGCAGTGGGCTCGGGGGGAATTCAAGGTTGTTTGCGGTGGGCGGGTGGAGTGTTTGCGATTTGTGATGTATCATTTGGTTGGGACCGACCTTGCAGATCCCACAGCTCTGTCGACTGGAATTGCGCGGCAGCAGTCAAAGCAGAGCATGTCGGGCGTCGAGTAGCGGGAGTGCAATACATGGGGAGGGGGCGAGAGGAAAGGTGCCCCGGATGGGCCCCAGGGGGGCTCCCTGGTGCCCAAAGGGGTGCACGGAAGGTGCACGTTTCTCCTCCCTTCCCCCCGCTTCTCGCTCCCCCATATCGCCGCTTGTCACCACACAGTGAGGAGACCTAACATTACTCGTCGCCAGACAGCGAGGAGAGTGGGCAGACAGTGAGAACGTCGAGGCCGCGCCCAGCGCCGCTGCTCGGGCCGCTCCGCCGCCGAGCACGCGGCCCTCGCCCGGCCTCCCCCGAGACCTCGGCAGGCGGCTGCTGGTGTCCAGGCGGCATCCGGCAGGGCTCGAGCTAAACGGTGTTTTGGCAATTTCGTGGACCGTCTTCGTTTTGACCTTCGTTTTGCAGCAAATGTGGAACGAAGACAGAACTAGGGATGACGAAAACAAAACGAAAACGGAAAACACTGTTCAACTCGAGTCCTGGCAGCCGGTGCGCGCCATCGAGTGGGATGTCACCACACGCCAAAGCACCCCAACCCGACCCGAGGGCCCATATGCATCCTCGATTTCCAGTTTGGGAGGGGGGGGTCGGGGAGGAGCATCGACAGCCATGTTCGGAACCCGTACCCCCCCACCCTCAAATGTTGGTCTTCGGGTTCGGTTTGGGTGGTCTTGGTGCGTGCGGTGGGGCCCATGCCACGAAACACCCTGCTTGCCTCCAGGGTGCCCTGGGTTTGTTGGCTTCCCATGGTTTTGCGATGGAAAGCGTGGCGTTCCCACACCAAAAATCAATGGACGTCCTGGGATCTCAGGGTGGGGCTTTCTTGTGGACGGTCTCTTGTGGGATGGCCTCCGCTGTAGTCAGGACCTTCCGCGTACCGATGGCATTCCGTACCCGTGCCTCGTGGTGTGCCGAGTTCCGAGTGTTCGGTGCCAGTGATTGGCCTTTGTCCTTGACAGCCTCGCTGGGTGTGCAAGGGCCAGGGTTTTGCCGCCGCAGGCGAGAGGATGCCCGCGGCGGGCTCTGTGAGGCATCGTCGGTGGAACTCATCTCGGGACGATCGAAATGGGTATGGAGAGAACGGGCACGATGCCCAACAGCAGATCCTGTCCATCTGAACAGGACTCGCTGTCCGCACCGCCACGGACGTTATATTGTTCTGTTTTGGGGCAACATCCGTTTTTTGGGCATCGCAATCATTTCTTCCATACTCCAGATTTCGTAATAAAAGGGAGGGGGTCTGGACCCTCCAAGACAAGCCATGTCAGACCTCCCCCGTGGGAGAACCCTCCAAAACATCGTCCCCAGACCCCCCAGGCCCTCCAAGATAGCCTGGAAGAGACCCCCCCCGAAATGAGACCCCCCTCCCTTTCATTACGAAATCTGGAGTACCCATTTTGGGCGTCCGGATTGCAGGCGAGGACGCCCGCGGCGGGTTCTGTGCGGCATCGCCGGTGGCACTCGTCGTGGAGAACACGCCGCCTGCCACCTCGGGCACGTCGAGCTGTGGCGTGGCGTGGCTCTTTGGACTCCTCCCTGCAGGTTTGGCGTCCATGGGCCTGGGGCCTCTTCTTGGCGGGCAATACTTCTGTCCATATCCACTGCAGTATGGAGTTTCGGGCTTCCTTCCCAAGAAACCCGAGGTGCACTGGATATGGATAAATTTGCCCCCTAGAGGCTCGATTTTTATCCATATCCAGTGCGCCTCGGCCTTGAGGCGCCGCTTCCAGAAAAGTCCAAGAGGCACTGGATATGGACATGAATCTTGCCCGCATTCTTGGCGGCGAGCGAGGGGGGGGGAGTGAGAAGGAGGAGGCCTTCTCGGAAGGCGGCGAGACTTCTCAGAAACCAGTTCGCCTTCTGAGAAGTCTTCCTTGTCCTCGGGGAAGGCTCGGAAGCTCCTCGGAAGGCCGGGGGACTTCCGAGCCTTCTGAGAAGGCATGCCCCTGCTCACTCCCCCCCTCGTTCGCCGCCGATCTTCGAAATCAATCAGATCCAACCACGCGACTTTGGGCCGAACGGTCCGCCACAGATTCGTGCAGCATCGCTGATGGGCCGCTCTTCCGCCACCACCACTACTACAGGTAGGACTGTGGAGAAGGGAGGGAGCCTCCTCCTCCTCCTCCTCCTCCTCCTCCTCCTCCTCCTCCTCCTCCTCCTCCTCCTACCTCTGGTGGTGGTGGTGGAGCGTCGGCCCATCCACCTCGCCGTGCCCGGGGCCCCAGCAGCGCTGCGGGCGCCCGACCGTTCGAGGGGCCCTCGAGCGGAGCGCAGGGCCCTCGCCGCAGGCCCACCCGGTGGGGTGGACCCCTCCTCCTCCTCCTCCTCCTCCTCCTCCTCCTCCTCCTCCTCCTCC